TAAATTAAAAATTAAACTAAATACAAAATGTAAAATAAGATAGCAGAAATAAGTCCAAATATAATTTAATAATAATAAATGTAAATGGATTAAACTTACTAAATAAAGGTTTTGGCTCTCAGATGAGAAAGAACAAATAATACCTTGTTTAGAAAGACACAGACATGCTTGATGTAAAAGATATGAAAACATTAAAATAATGAAGTACCATATCAGGCAAATATAAGCTAAAAGAAAGCTGAAGTAGTCATCTTAATGTGTGGCAAAAAGTAATTTGAAGCAAAAATATAATAATTAACAAAGAGATGGATTATATACTGGTAAAAAAAATAATTGAGCTGCAAGAACCTATTAACACCTACAATTTCACCTTGAAATTGTAAAAAATTTTTTTAAAACAAGTGACACATTTGTCACTTGTTTGACAGATTTGAAAAACAAGTGACAAAATCTTGAAGTTAGCAATAGTGTTTGAGGATCTTTAACCTAATTTTAACACTTGATTAACACTTCAGTGTGATTAATAACCACACACTGAAGAGCTGACCAATCTACTGAATAAGCTTAAGCTATGGTAGGTAGGTAGGTAGGTAGAGAGATAGAGTTATAGATATTTATATAAGGATATTTATGTACCCAACAGAGAGTAAGCATTCTTTTGAGAACAAATCAAAAATTTACAAAAGTATCCCACAAATAAAACTGCAAAGAAAGCTATGCTAAGCCAAATAATATCATAAGGATATTTTCCAACATAATCAATAAAATTAGAACTCAATCATAAAAAGAATATCAAAGAATCCATATACTGTGAAGCTAAACAACATACTGTTAAATAACCTTTGACCTAAACAAGGAGTCACATTTACTAACAAGTGAGTCACACGGATATGCCAGTCAAATGGTGGGGTGCCTCTCTTCAACCATAATGGAGAGCATCGTAAAATTATACAGCAAAGGATGTGGATCTAAGAAGGGGTGGATATTTGAGGCCTTTTTTACAGTCAGGGTGGGATTCCTTGGAGGGGAGGAGGAACATTAGTGACAGTAGGAAGACATGAAGGGGTCTTCTAGTGCTGGTCACATGAGTAGTTTCCTCTATGATGATTCACTTAGTCGCACAGCAATAATCAGTACGTATTTCAAAGTATGGTGTTCCTTTGGTCTGTGTTTGTTTTTATGTCAGTACCATACTGTTTTAATTACTATAGCTTTGCAATATAATTTGAAATCAGGAAACATGATGACTCCAGCTTTGTTCTTCTTTCTCAAGACTACTTTGGCTATTTGGGGTCTTTTGTGGCTCCACTGGATTTTAGAATTGTTTTTCCTATTTCAATGAAAAACACCACTGGACCTTTGATAGCCATTGCACTGAGCCTATAAATGGTTTGGAACAACATGGGCATTGTTACAATATTAATTCTTCTGATCCCTGAACATGGGATATTATTCCATTTACTTATGTCTTCTTCAGTTTCTTTCATCAAGGTCTTGTCATTTTTAGATATAAAAATTTTCAAGCCCCCTCCCAGACACACTAAATCAAACTGTCTGGAGGTGGGGCCTGGCCCTCTGTGTCTCAACAAGCCCTCTGGAGAACTGTGATGCACGCTCAAGTGTGGGGAGTGGGAATGATCCACCAGAGCTGAGTTCTGATGGCTCCAACAAAGACATTGACTTTGTTTCATTGTTACCTCTTAGGACGATCATTTTTGTGACTTGTGTGCATCCGATTCAAGTTGAAATTCCTATACCTGTGGTATGGCAATCCGATTAGCTCACTCTGCTCAGCTCATTTCACATGATCACACGCCTTCTTACCAAATAACCTCAGTTCCTGCTGGATAGCAAGTTCCTTTGACATTGATGGTAAGATGCTTAGAAATATAGTCTATACCAAACCTTGCTCTGCTTCTATAATCTTCCTTCATAAACACAGAGTTGTTGTGAAGATTACAGATAGGGTTGCCCTAATTGTTACAACTATGAGCATCATTATCTTCAGAAGATTGCCTTTCTTTACTCATTTCAGTCTGCAGGGGCCGAAAGTCTTGCTGGCTCATCAAAGGACACTGCAGGAAAGACTGCAAACCCAGCAAGCAGATGAAGAGGCCATGTAAACACAGCGACTATTGCTGCATTCCAAGCAAGGCAGATTCCCATCCACATGGACCAACCCAAGCCCCTATCAGGACCTCCCAGAATGCTAATAATTATTTGAAAAAAAAATGATCTTTGGGCTAATAGGCCAGTCATCATCACCAGGTCAGCAAGAATTTAGAGTAAAGTAGGAAAACTGGGGGCTTCTCAGTCTGGGGACTAACGCCAGTCTCTTTTCCGACTCATTAAACCACATGACCTCCTCTCTGCGGTCCTCACGAGGCTGGATTAAGACCTTGAGGTGCCCAAAATACTAAAAATACCAGTGTCCCACCTCACCATTATATAATTTTAAAAAGAGAGAGAGGGGAACTAATTAAATATTTAGAGGGAAATCCAGATAATTTCCAGTGGTTCCCATGAAAAAATTCTCAAAAAAAATGTTTGTGACATCCAGGATCGAATTACTTTACCCAGAAAAACCACTTTTCTGTTCCTCCTGCACCTGCTTTGCTGGTGTCCCATGTCTATGGCACTGCTTTCTGCATCTGGGCTTTTGCCTTTCCCCAAAGAGTTTGGGAAGCCTCTGGGAAGTTCCTCATTTTATACGTGTCTTCTTTTTTTTCTTAAGACTTTATTTATTTACCTTTAGAGGGAAAGGGAAGGAGAGAGGGAGAGAAATATCAATGTATAGTTACTTCTCATGCATCCCGTGCTGGGAACTGGCCTGCAACCCAGGCATGTGCCCTGACTGGGAATTGAACCATGATCCTTTGGTTGGCAGACCCGCGCTCAATCCACTGAGCTACACCAGCCAGGGCTATACGTGTCTTCTGATTCAACACAGTAGCTCTTTGACTTTTTGACCAGTAGGTACCAGGACATTAAGAGGTTTTTCTATAAAACAGAAGACACCTCAGGTAAACGCATTGCATTTATTACGAACTCGTGTCTGGTTGGACACTTCTATCTGACGTAGACCAGTGAACAGAATTGACAGCCCAGAATTAACCCCCTGCATGTGTATTCAACTAATATTTGACAAGGGAGCCAAGAATACTCAACGGGGAAACAATAGTCGCTTCAACAAATGGTATTGAGAAAACTGGATAGCCACGCACAGAAAAATTAAATTGGACCCTATCTTACAAAGCTCACAAAAATTAACTCAAAAATGGATGAAAGACTTAAATTTAAGAGAAACCATAAAACTCCTAGGAGAAAACTCACAGTAAAAAACTCCTTGAGTTTTTGTGTTAATTCACAAAACATGTAAGGAACTCACACAATTCAATAGCATGTAAATAAATAATCCAATTAAGAAATAGCCAAAGAATTTGAATAGACATTTTCCCAGAGATATACAAATGGTCAACACGTGCATGAAAAGATGCTCAACATCACTAATCATTAGGGGAATCCAAATAAAAACTACAGCAAGATATCACCTCGCATGTGTTAGAGTGGCAATTATCAAGAAGACAAAAAATAACAAGGGTTGTCAAGAATGTGGAGGAAAGGAAACCCTTGTGCACTGTTAGCAGGAATGGCGATTGGTTCAGCCACTACAGAAAGCAGGATGGAGGGTCCTCAAAGAATTAAAAATAGAACTATTATATATGATTCAGCAATTTCACTTCTGGGAATATACCCAAAAGAAATGAAAAAAGGATATCATAGTTTGCACTATGAAAACAGTGCAAACAGAGATGTATGCACTTCCATGTTTATTGCAGCATTATCCACAATAGCCAACGTATGGAAACAACCTAACATCAAAGAATGGATGGATAGCCTTGGCTGGTGGTGTTCAGTGGATTGAGTGCCAGCCTATGAACCAAAGGGTCACTGGTTTGATTCCCAGTCAAGGCGCATGCCTGGGTTATGGGGCTGGTCCCCAGATGGGGGCATGTGAGAGGCAACCACACATTGATGTTTCTCTCCCTCTAAAAAAAATAAAATAATAATTAAAGAATTGATGGATAAAGAAAGTGTGGTATAAATATACAATGAAGTATAAATATACAATGAAGTATTAATCAGCCATGAGAAAGAAGGAAGCAAGGGTTGATTCAGGGGAAAAACTAGGCAGGACAGGGCTGACTCTGGAGGTCACGTCAGGGCTCTGCCTCCCACAGGCAGGTCTGAACGGCAAGGCCTTCACAGACGCCCCAGGCCTCCAGTGGCCTCCAGGGTGCACCTGTCACAAGTAATGTCCCAAGTTACTGGGGACCTGCCTTGGGTCAGGAGCACTGACATTAGATAAAATCCCTCCTTGATTCCTGCTATAAATGACCTTCCTCAAACTTTGCAGCAAACCAGCTCTCTATTATCTCAGGCAAATCGCTTCCCTTGGTGGACACATATGCAAGAGATTTGGATTATCGATTGGCATGTGTTCTGACCTTTATTGCCACAAACCTTCACTGAGAATATGTTCTGTGCCTTGAGGTTCAAAAATGAGAGATACAGTCCTTATTCTCAGGAACCTCAGAGTCCAGTGGGGGTAAACAGACAAGTAAATAGACAGTTGAAAAGCAGGCTTATGCTGGAGTGGTAGGGACTATGCAGAGAAGGCAGGACCGGATGAAGGGCCTGGGGAAACCAGGGAAGATGCCCTGGCATACAGGCCCTCCCTCTCCGTATCTCCAAACACATCTTAAATGCCCGTGACTTATAATCATCTGCTTGACCTCCAGTGCCTGTATCAGATGTCCAATCAGTGTGCCAGCCAGTAGACAAATGCTCCGCATGGTTTAGCTTTTATGTCTCTGTGCAGTTCGGCACCCCATCCCTCTGCCCCCACCCCAGAGAGGCCAATAAAACGCTGGTTCACATGCGCACTGGACAAAGTGTTCTGGACTCCTGGACCTGTTGCCTCCTGCTTCCCGAGGACCATGAGGCTCCTGCTCCTGACTCTTGCTGCCCTTGTGTTCCTACCACAAGTGACCCCAGGTAATTGGAACCCTGGGAAGTTGCAGAAATGGAGGTAGAGGGGTTCTGGAAACTTCAGTGTGGTACTGTACCCCTCAACCTGGGCAGCTCCATGGTTTCCCCTTGGAACGATGCTCCTGGCAGGCATAGTCTAAGGGTAGGACAAGCCCTTGCTCAATAGACAGGGGCAGACCCAACATCCAGAGTTAGCACCTAGGGAACCAGATGAGAATTTGATTCATGTCAGTTCTCTTGCCAGCTGCGTCAGCTCTGGAAAATGATTCCCAAAGCCCACTCGTCTCCTGTTTTTTTTTGTCCTAAAAGTCCTGTTACAGCTTTAACTGAGGTCCCTTGCTTCATACTCTAGAATTTGGCAAACAGGTCAGAGAAGATCTGTGGGGCTCTACTGAAAAATTAGCAGTGAAAGTCTAGAGTTTTATGATTACTGCTTTTAAAAGTATATCTAAAGTTATGAGCAGACCTTTGAAATTGCTGCCAGCATGGACCTGAATAATTTCTTATTCAAAGTACCCTGTATAACTCTCAAGATACATTTCAATGTGTGAACAAAGTCATACAAAAATGAATTTATTTGTTTCTGTCCTATAAAAAAAGTAACACATTATAATGGCTATACAATGCTCTTCTTTCACTTAATGTTCTGTGATCACCTTTCCAAGTTATCAAGGAAAGATTAACCTTGTTCTTTGTAAAATTCCATTGTATAGTAATTTAATGTATAGTCATTTAAAATTTTCCTAATTTTTAAATAACATCTCAGTGAACATACTTATATAAGCATCTTTATATATTAGGACAAGGACTTCAATAGAATAGTTTTCTTGAGGTCAAAAGGCCAAGTGAAGTGTAAGTGTAAAATATTTTATTTCATGAAGTCTTCCCTTAATGCCTTCCGAGACACTGCCAGTCGAAATCTCTGGCTGTTGGAGTTTTGAGTAGTTTTTCAGCTGCAACTCAGGAATAATCCTGCATGGTCTACCTGGGGTCGCTCATGTCTGCTTTCAGTTCTGATGGGGGTGTTGAGACTAGGAAAGAGACAGAAGTGCAAGATTTTGTCAAAGCAACCCATGAACTGTGGAAACTCAGGGCATGTCAGTAGTGAAGGATATATTACATGTTCTGAGGTTTCAAGTCTGAGTGTTCTGGTAAGAGATATAAATTTGGGGTGATCCCCTTGGAGGGAGTAGTTGAGATGAGGAAGCATAAAGCCTTCATGTTTTATCTTGGACAGCCCCTACATTTAAGGGAGGAGAATAAAAATCAGTGACATTGGCAGGGACAGGGAAATCTCCACACCTCTCACCTGTGGTGCCCAAGACTCACCGCGTCACCACAATCCCTCCAATGCATCATTTGTACCAATCTGATGGCGATGAGATATCACACTACTGTTTAAATGTGCGTTTCATCTAATCCTGGGATCAAAATATCTGAATGACTTTCCCTTCAATGCCTTGTAAGACCCTCTGTTATCTCAACCTCCATTACATTTCTCCAATTATTCTCCACCTAACTTACCGTATAGCCACCATAGCCACCTCATAGCCGTTCAAAAACTTTGGGGTAGATGCTGCCCCTGGGCCTTTGCACTTGCGGCCTTCTCTCTCTGGTCCACCCTTCCCCCAGTTAATCTCGCAGCTCACTCACTTCCCTCTCAGCGAGGCCTTTCATCAGTTCCCTTCTGACCACAAACTTCGTACACACCCTTCACGCTTCACTATTCTCCATTATGCTTTCATTCCACCCGCCCATACTGAGCATAAAGAATGTTTTACTTTCTTCTCTTACTGTCTCATATTTGTCTCCTAAAAAGACCGAAACCTGCAAGAGAACAGCGAGCTGAGTTTATTTTCATGGTGGATGTATCCACCTGTGTGTTGAATAGCACGTGGTGTGTAGTCAAACTCAACGAATATTTGTTGTAAGAGTTTATTTGACCCAAACTGATGACAATTATTCGTTGAATGATTAATAAGCAAGTGACTTTTTCCACTTCCGTTAATTGATTATTTGTATCTTTTGCCCATGGTTTCTACAGAGTAGGTAATGCCTTCTTGTTGATACTAGGAGTTCTTTATTTTTTATATTATTCCTTTAGTCACTGGGCATATTATCCCCCAATCTTTCATGAACTGTCTGTGAACTCTGCCCATGATATGCCCTTCACTGAAGGAAAATACTGAATTCTGGTCTAATCAAATTCAACAATAGTTTGCCCAGTAGGTTGTGCTTGGTGACTTTGTTGAAGTTCGTTCCTGTTCTTACATCTCAAGGGAAATCTCTGACATTATTTTTCCATGAGATTTTAGCTTTGCCTTTCAAGTTTAGATCTTCAAGCCACCAGCTGGGATGTGTAAATCCACTTTTATTTTTCTCACAGAGTGAGCAAGTCATCCCAAAACTGTGTGCTAAATAATTTCTCCACTGATGCGCGGTGCCGTTGTTACTGCACACAAAGGTCTTTGTCTGAGCACGGTTCTGTTTCTAGCTGTCTATTCTGTTCCGTTGGTCTCTCTGTTCTTGTAACAATGCTTCATTCTTTGTAACGCCATGACTTTATAAACTGTCAGTGTCTAGAAGGATAAGTCTTTGTCTTGCTTTTTTTAAAGGTAATCTTAGTTATCAGTGGTTTTTACTCTTCATGGTCAATTTTAAAATAAAATAATAAAGTCTCCAAAAAATTTGATTTGTATTTTGATTAGAATTGCATTAAGTTTATGGATTAATTTAGGATAAAGTGAATCTGTATAATAATTAAGGCATTCCATCCAAGCTCACATTTTTCTTTTAGAATTTAAAAATATATCCCATGGAGGTCTTACATATCCTTAGTTTAAACTAGACAATAGCTATGCCATATATTTTGTTATATTTCCTAGTTAGTTATTGTGGATGTCAAGAACTGCTACTGAATAAGAGTTTGTTCATTCCTTTTTTATTATAATCGTAACCACTAGAATGGATGACGATTTTATCACTTTTCTTCTGATCTTTATACTTTTGTTTTCTTTTCCTTTTTTCCCCTTTAAACACTGACCAGGTCCACCACTGTTATTTCAAACAATAGCAATAGTAGAGAGTATTTTTGTTGCCTGAGCTCGTTGGATATCAGTTTCTCCGTTAGTAGCATTATCTCTAGAATTGGATGTGTAACCTTTACCAAATTGAGGAAATTACTGCTGTTCCTGCTTTGCCTAGAGTTTAGGGTTTTCATCATAAACAAGCATTGAAGTTTACCAAATTATTTTTCTGCACCAAATAAAATAATTCTGTCATTTATCTCCTTAATTTTATGAAGATGGTGAATCTCATTAAAAGATTTTCTAATGTTGGATGGTAGTCTATATTCAGAGTTAAACCCTACTTGATTATGAGGTACTTTAATACACTGTTGAATTCAGTTGACTAATTATTTAGGATATTAAAAATTTACATTTATAAAGAAAATGACTTATCATTTTTTTGGTTTTAGAACAGAGACACAGCAGCCTCATAAACAACAACCCAGAGAACTTTCCTCCACACCCTCCCAATCCCTGTGGCTATTTTCTGGAACATGTTGTGCATAATACCTCTTGGATCATCCATGAAAGTAGTAGAACGTACCTTTAAAATCATCTAGGGTAACAGCAGTGTTTGCAATAGCCAAAAATGGAAGCAATTGAAAGGTCCATTGAGTGATGAATGGATAAACCAATGTGGTGTATACATGCAACAGAATATTATTTAGCCCTTGGGGATGAACAATGAAGACTTAATGCCAAGTAAGATAAGACAGGTGCAAAGGAACAAATACTATATGATTCCACTCATGTGAGGCACTTTGAATAGCCAGGTTCCTAGAGACACAGAGTAGCCCAGTGATGGCCAGGACTCTGAGAAGGGCTGTTTTCAGTGGGTAGAGTTTCCATGCATGAGATGAGAAGAGCTCTGTGGGTGGATGGTGGTCAGGGCACCATAGCAGTGAGGCTGAGTGCAATGCGCCTGAACTGTTTGCTCAAAAAGGCTAACTTTTATGTTATATGTATTTATCAAAAATTTAAAAAATCATTCAGCACTGAGGCTTTCCAGAAGAGGTTGTTTTTTTTTCCTACCATATTCAATTTCAAATACAAGTGAAAGGCTAAATGAAATGTGTACACTTCTACAAATATCCCAGGGATGGAAAATACAAACTTAAGTAAATCATTAAGAACTTGAGACAGGTGGTCATAAACTAAAAGGGGAAATGGTGGAGGAGGGGTACGCAGGGTGGAGGGGAAGGAAGGGGGGAAATAGAACAACTGTAATGGCATAATTAATTATATATATATGAAAAGCAGAGACTCACGCCCCACCTACTGAATCAGAATCTGCATTTTAACAAGAACTCTACATGATTTGTATGCACATTACTGGCCTAAGCAGCCCTGACCTAATACCTGGGCACATGCAGCCTCTCAGGTGGGAATACCTGCACCATTCACGGATGCTAGTAATGTTCTGCTTCTTAATTAGAATGCAGGTTCATGGCTATTCATTTTATTATTATTTTTAAGCTATACAGATGTGTTTTATGTACTCATTTTAATGTATATTTTGCTATAGAATGTATTCAAAGAAATCTAATCACATGGGGTATGACCAATGCCAATAACTCAATCACAGTGAGGACGAGATGAACTTTATGTGGGTAGCTTCATTATAATTAGCTTCCACCCCTTGGGACTAGCAAGTTTCTTTCCACTTACAGTAAGATGCACCTCACTTTCAGACAATTAAAAAATCTGGCAGCTTGGAGGGTGGAAACAGATATTTTTAGAAACATGGTATTTTACTAGCCCTGAGCTGGAGAGCCTCGCAGCCATGGCCCCACTATACCCCACGGAGGTGTTATGGATGCTGAGCACAGAGTTGTGCTTATAAAACAAAAAGCGTCAGTAACCTAAAACCAGTGGTCTTTTTCTTTGTTATTCAGCCTTTGGTGGAAAAAAATGCTGGCAAAGAATGGGGTACTGCAGGAGATACTGTAAAGTCGATGAAGAGGTAAAATCGGCATGTAAAAACCATCGAGTTTGCTGTGTTCCCGTGGAGAAAGGCCGCAAGCCAGTGGGCCGTGGCAAGGAAGTGCCCAGGACGTCTTCCACGCAAGCAAGTCATCTTCAAGCAAGTCCTATGGATATCGTTATAATGATACCATCCAGCTCTTCCGAGTTGGAAGTGGTCCTCTGGGAAGCAGAAAACGAGCAGTCTGACCAGGTGCTGGAAACTGACATGTCTCTCCCAGAAGTTCACCAAAGCTCATGACTTCCTCTCAGCTGCCACCCACCTGGCCTCCGAGTGATGGACTCAGGTGTGCAAAGTACTGAAAATACAGCAGCGACACACTCTGCCCTCCATCAGTGTGTGATTCTAGATAACAGACAGCTGTGTAAGGAAGTTCAAAAACTCCCGGTACTGCCAATGATAAACTCCTCAGCGCTTTTCTCAAAGTGTGCAATTATTTCCATGACAGATTTTAACCCAGTTTGAGTGCCCCTCATTTGCTGCTGTATACACAGCCTTAGTCACTTAATTAAGTATTCCAGCACTAATCTTTCCATTGTCCGTCTGTTTTCTTAACAAGTGGTTTGGGATTCCAGGGGCACCCCTACCTCTTCATGGCGGCGTAAATTGTCACAATCAAAAAATTTAAATCCTTGCATTTATGAGCCCTGGCCATTGTGGCTCAGTGGGTCGAGCATCTTCCCATAAACCAGAAGGTGGCCTTTTGATTCCAGGTCAGGACACAGGCCTGGGCTGTGGGCCAGGTCCCCAGTAGGGGACTTGTGAGAGGCAACCAATAGGTGTTTCTCACATCCATGTTCCTCTCTCTCTCCACCCCTTCCTGTCTTTCTAAAAATAAATAAAATACTTAAATCCTTGCATTTATGAGAGTAGCTTCTTGAATGCCAAAAGCTTTCTTTAGAGCAGGATACGCCTCAGGGGAAAGCATCCATTTCCCTGTGAGCTTTGGCTCCAAAGCCCTGTATTACTACTCACTGTAGGAAACGGTCTGGCCCAGAGGATGGCCTGGCCCATGAGCTCTAAGGCCTCCTTTTGGCCCTAGTTGCTTCCAAGTTGGACTAGAAACTACTGAAGGGCTGCCCTCGTGGGCACATGACCTTGAGCAAGCCTCAATCACACACAAATGTCCAAAGGTAAGCCTTTTAATTGTGGGAGAGAGATGGGCCATCTTGTCCACCTGGTTACTGAGAGCTTCATCTGTCTCTCTGATGGCATAAAAATATAAAGTACAAATTGTTTTCTACCACATAGACACGGGAGTATAAAGCACAGCACAGGAAATGTCGGCAATACTATTCTACTAACTTCCTATGCTATCAGGTGGGTACTGGACTTATCAAGAGGATTAATTTATAAGTTAGAAATGTCTAACCACCATGCTGTACACCCAAAACTAACATAAAATAATATTGAATGTCAACTGTAATTGAACATTTTTAAAAATTTTAGACTTGAATATTTTCACAGCCCACGCCCTTTCAGAGAGGTGGGTCCACAGAGCCCCGCCACGCGCCTGGTTGCTGCGAGTCCTCTCATCCTCCCTTTCTGAGACCCAGACCAACCCATTATCACTGTCCATGAATCACTGTGGCTCCGCACTCTAGACCTCCCCTTCTTCTGCGGAGAGGATTTTCCTTGCTCCCTGTCCAATTCCAGACCCGAAGTCTCGGTTTTGAACATGCCATTTCCACCTAACGTTGGAATGCTTCTCCCCAGGGGTTGGATAGTACTCAACTGATGGGAAATTCAAATCTCATGAATTTATTATTTCAGATGATTAGTAAAATTAATCCAATGATCATTTGAATTTTGGAAGTCTGCAAGTCTGAACCTCTGGGCTGCGGTTTCTGCCGGCCTTCAGTAACGGTGCCTTTATTGCCTCGTGTGCCTCGTGAGGCGGGGCTCTGAGCGGTGCATTGCCTTGGATTTTTATCTGAGTGAATTACCCGGGTCCTGACTTCAAGATCTGCCTTTTCATTTACTTCTGTCAGATAGCTCTGGCACTACTAGTTTGGGACAACTTTAAGCTAACTCATCAGCTGTATTCTTTTTTCCCCCCAGACCATCTATATGCTATGAGTTCAGGCTAAGAGACTAAGTGAGAGCCAGCTTGTGGTTTTAAGTTGTTAGTAGATAATTTTTTTTCTATGTACTGAGTACAAAGTTTCAAGACCAGGCAATTGCCCTTGAAACATCTGGTGAAGGAGGAGTGTTGTAGCTGTTTTATCCTCACATAGCGTAAGTGGCACTTCCAGGCCTGAAATGTATGCAGGACTCTCCTGTCAGACTCAGTTGTCCAGACCCTGGGCACTGTCTCCTCTCCCCTGCCTTCCCCCGCCCCCCGGCCAAAGTCATGGAAACGATAGCTCAAGTTCACTTGGTTCAGCAAATGCTTCAGTTACCGCCTTCGCAAAAGCACCTGGTTTCACTTGACCATCATATTCTTCACTCTTTTTACAAGGTCAAAGCCGCTTAAGAAGTTTTTTGTACAATTTAAATAAGTCATTTTAAATGTTTTCAGTAGGAGGGTTAAGGTGGGTTTTTAGACCATTATTCTGCTAGGAACGCGGGCCCAGAACCGACACTTTTCTCTGGATGATACACTTCGTTGCTGCGAGAGGGCAGGTGGCAGCCCCGAAGTGGGGAGAAAGGAGACAATTGTCAAAGGGTAAAATTGTCCCTCTGTGTCTGAAACCGAAGGGATGAAATGGTTGCTTTCTTAAACAAAAGAGAGCCACACTGGTCAGGCCTCGGCTTGCTGAGCAGAGCAAGGAGCTGAGCTCACATAGCTCAGGGAGGAAGCATCTTAGGGGAGTGATGTTGGTTACAGATGTGCGGATGGGTGGGTGACAACTTAGACGGGTGTACACTGAGGGGCACCCAGAGCCAACAGGCTGACTTTCAAAGCATAATACTGTCCCTGACGATTTGGTTTTCAGAAGTGTGTTCGCTGAAGTGAGTTGCCGCTGGTCTAGAAGGAAGGCTTCAAAACATTCAAAGAGTTTACGTGTTATCATGGCGATAGAACTGTCAGCCTTTTCCTGGGAATGGGGAGAGTTTTTATTCTCACAAGAGAAGAGAAACTTTAGGGGATACAATGAGGCGAATGACAGAGGAACACCGAAAGATAATGGGGAAGGCACAGCCCAAAAGTTAGGAAGAAAACAAAGAAGCCACAGAAGCCAATCAAGATAAGGTTTTCAGTGGCAGAATGAACTATGGTTGCAAATGCTACCAAGAAGCAGAGTGACACATTAGTGGAGCAATACCCATGAAACTTTCAAAAAGGAGCCCAGTTGGTGACCTTGGCCAGAGCCTGTTCAATACAACAATAAACACAAAAACAAATTGTACCAAGTTGTGGGGAGGCACAGAAATAAAGAAAAGTAATTGGCAAGTGTAGCTACTTTCCCTTGGAACTAAAGATGGAGAAAGAAATTAGATATTAGTGGAAGCAAGACATAAACAGTAAAAGTATAATGTTACCTTGAAAGCTACTGTTGGTTGTAATTGGGGGCACAAGCTTCCTAGGCTGTCGGGAATTAGAAGACCTTAATAATTACCAAAAGGAACAGCAGCATTCAATATTCCAGTTCCTTCCCTGATAACACCTAACTTGACACTTTGAGAAGACAACTTATTCTTTCTTACAGCAGCTGGTTAGGAGATTCTTCCGTGAACTAAGTTATATTTGTCTGCAAGACCTTCACCCACTGCTCCAGGGATGCACCCCACTAGTTCTGGCCCGCCCCTGAACCCCGCGGAGAATGATGAAGTCACGGCTCTCCCTAGCCTAGCCTTCAACCTGCCTTCAGTGGATTCAAGTTCATTCTCTCCCTATCTTCACTGATTTGTGTAGATTCTTTCTCTTCTTGTCACTGGTTTTCTAGAATTGTCTCTCACAGGACTTGATCCAGAAGGTGACAGGTGTCTCATCATGCAAGGTTCAATCTCACCTCGATTTGAATGGATGAAAGACAAGGGGGTCAGGTGCATGATTTTAATGAGGGGTATTGACAGCAGGGTGAGGACGGTGGTTGCCAGCACTCAGGACATTTTTGGCCAGTGGATCTCTCACCTCCAGTCACTACTGTCTTCTGTGCTGAACATGTTTATTCTCATGTAGGACTGGAGGCAGCATGGTCGGTAATCTCTGCAATAGAAGTAGGGATGTTCGGTCTTTTTGCAAGAAGTTCTACAGATTCCCTTGTCACCCATGCATCGAAGGATGTGACGCTTGCCTAGACAAAAAACAAAGACAAAAAACACAAATACTTAATTTCCACTTAGAAGTAATATAGATATGAGGAGTCAGGGAGCACAGTCAAAACCTGAAGGGCTAAAATAATAATGACACACCACTGCACACCTATTAGAATGGCCAGATCCTGGAACACTGCAAACACCAAGTGCAGGCGAGGTTGTGGAGCAACTGGAACTCGCACACGTTGCTTGTACAGGCCCTTTAGAAGAGGGTTTGGTGGTTTCTTGCAAAACTAAACATACTCTTACCATACAAACCAACAATTACATCCTTGGTATTTACTCAAAGGACTTGAAAGCTTATGTCCATCCAAAAATCTGCACACAGGTGTTTATAGTAGCTTTACTCGTAATTCCCAAAATTTGAAAGCCACCAAGATGTCCTTCAGTAGGTGAGTGGATAAAGTCTATACTTCCATACAAAGTAGTGTTATTCAGCACTAAAAAGAAACAAGCTATCAGCCCTGGCTGGTGTGGCTCATTGGATTTAGTGCTGGCCTGAGAACCAAAGGGTCACTGGTTCAATTCCCAGTCAGGGCACATGTCTGGGTTTCGGGCCAGGTCCCCAGTAGAGGGCATAAGAGAGACCTTCTCCTTCTCTCCTTCTCTTTCTCCCTCCCTTCCTCTCTCCAAAAATAAGTAAGTAAAATCTTTTTAAAAAGAAATAAGCTATTAAGTCATGAACAGACATGGAGGAAGCTTACATGCAATTACTAAGTGAAAGGAGCCAATCTGAAAAGGCCACATACTATATGACTTCAATTCTATGACTTTCTGGAAAAGGCAAAACTATGGAGATAGTAAAAAGGTCAGTTGTTCTGATGGGTGGGGTGGCAGAGAGATGAATAAGCAGAACACAGAGGGTCTGGGAGGCAGGAAAAACTCTCTATGATACTGTAACTGGGGATTCCTGTCATTATACATTTGTCCAAACCCATAGACTGGACCACACCGCGAGCAAGCTGCAATGTACGCTA